TCAGAATAGAAGAGTAATATAGAAATGGTAGTTGCTATGCCAAACAGTGAGCATAAAGGCATGATTATGTGAAGGACAAAGGGAGCTAAGGGCAGCAGACATACTAGGAATGGATCACAAGTTGGGAGATTAATGGTGAGCTCCCATGGCTCCATGAAGACAGATGAAACACCTGCTGAAACCTGTCTTTTGACGGCTTTCTGCAGCAGAGTAGGGTGAAAAATCTAAGCTGAAAGAGTGAAAATAGTAGTTTCCACACCTAGAAGTGGAATTACTGTCAGTTTTTCTGTTCTTCCCCACATAACCTGCCAAAGCAGGGGTAACTCCTACCATGGTTTTCTTGCGCAACTGTATCACAGAATAATGAAACTGAACTCTCACCTCGTTGTGGCAATGCTACTGTGCCTTCCTCTTCCCTGCCTTGTTCCTTCATTTCCAGCATCGCAGGCAAGTCCAGACTGGTTATTGTTCTCAGTGCATGAGCTTCAACTTGCTCATTCACCTCATAATTTCACCGTCCTAAAGGCAGGAATGGCCAAGTCTGTTTCTGTTGTCTAAGAAGTAGATAGATGTAGATGTTCTTCATATGGCAGGCTTGTTTGGGTTATACAGCGATGTAATGGTTTCTCCAGGAATTTGTTAAGCTAAGAAAAATGCTCTTGGTATAGAACTATTGAAACTCTGGTTGAAACTCTGAACTTCAACTCTGATTTTAATCTCATCAGAATGTGAATTCAAGGCATGGTCCTACTTGCATTTGAAAGCACAACCTGGCAACCACACACCTTCACAGAAGTCAGAGATGTACATATACTTCAGCATGTCAGCAGAGATTTAATTATAGGTATTGGTAAAATTTCATGTGTAATCATAAAATTTCATGTGACTATAATATATATGTGACTCAATTTTATGTGACTATAAAGTTATGCAGCATTTTTTATGCATTGGCTTCTCCATGACTTTACAGTTCTTTCTTCCATATGTGTAAAGCTTGTAACTAAAAACCTGTAAAGGATGCTTATTTCCTCTCATATTCTCAATGTTCTTAGTTTGAAGATAATAAACTATAGTTTTCTGTTGAGAGTAACAGATCATCTATCCTCTACTCTTATTTTCACTAGAAACATGCATTAAAAGCAAAATCAGTGCTGTTACAGAAATAAATTTGAATTGACAGAATTGAATTAGACCATTTTGACCATTTAGACCATTAAACCATTTTGTATCCTTAACGATGTGAAATGATGTACCTGTATTTCTCTATATATTGTGTATGTGCATGTATTATATGAATTCCTGTATACATATATATATACATATATACATATATATACACACATGCAAATTTTGCAATGTTGATTGACTGTCCTAACTCAGACATATCTACATTACAAAGAACTATTCTCATACTCAGTAATATGAGTGTCCAATGATACATAAAGTGCTACACAAGATGTGTTTCTGTCTTTATAAGTTAAAGATGTTTTGTGATAAAATATTAAAAAATAGTGATAGCTAAAAAAATTGACTTAACCTTTAGTTATTAAAACACATTACTTGAGTCTATGAAATAATGATATCAAAAGATTCTTACCTGTATGAAAATTCCTGAATTATTTTTGAAATAAACTGAATAATACTGTATAATTCCATTAGGCTTTTGAGGAGGAGACCAGAATAAGATTATTGATGTGGAGGTAAGGTTTCTATACACAACATCTTTTGGCGGATCACTTGGTGCTGGAAAAATATTAAATTTTAGCTTACCTAACAGAAGATTTTGTACATTTTAGTGCCCAAGAAATATTCATGATAGATTTGACAACATCCTTTGTCAAATTAAATGTGTTTTTCAGTATGGTATAAAACTGCCTCTAGAAACAGCAAAATAAAGTAATAAATATAAATGACTTTTTAAAACACTGTTTTTAGATATATTTGTATTTAGTTGCATTTGTGCACACAGGTACTATTCTTACAGAATTTATCTTTTTACTCGCTTGGGAAAATGGACATGCACTGTTACTGATTTGGGAACATGCACACTAACAGGTAGCAGAATATTTATACCATCTCATTTGCAGAAAAGAAGTTGACTAATGGATTTTGAAGTCTGTAGCTGCATATATACTTAAAAGGGGAAAAAAGCAGCTTTTGTTTCAGAGACCTATGTGTGTCTTTACAGATTGGGAGTTCGGACGCCAAACTCACGTAGATAAATCAAATATTTAACTTTGGATGGTATGGTCATTTCTGTTCTTGAGTCTTACCCCAGTTTACTGAATTGCAGTAAAAATTGTGTGAGTAAATTTCCAATTAGCCTGTCCTCCTATCCTGAAAAGCATAGCAATGTATAGGCCTTCTCTTTCACCAGCACAGTGATGTATGAGACTCAAATTCAGTTCAAGACAATTTGAATCTGTATTTTTCATCATTCAGAAAGAAGCTCTATGCAGCAAATGTTCAAATACAATCACTGGAAGTTATCTCAGTCTCTTGTTTTGTGCTGTTGTGGTTTGTATATTAACTGGAAAAGGAACTGTAACTGAGATCCGTGCCTTAAAATACTGCCCTAAAAAGTCTGATCACATTTCCATACAGGTTCTGTAGTAAAGATTGGGAATATTGACAAACTGGTTAGGACAGTCTTTGGAGAGTTGACTTGGATAGACACTAATTCTGCCAGTGCCTGTATGTGAAGAAGTCAGTCTGTTTACGCAAGATGATTTTGGAATATGCCTGCATACTATTGCTTAGTAAACAGACCGTAGATACATAAAACATTGTAAAACCAGAACAGGTATTGTATCTGCCTGACTTTCAAAGCACACTTCATTGTATAGCCATTTACAAAAATCAGTTATCACTTTGGAAATATAAAATCAATTAAATAGAGTAAACAAATAATTCAGTGCATATTTACAGATTTCATTTTCAAATTAAAACCACTTTGTGCTTGTGAGACTCTTTAAACTATTTTTCCTCGCAGAAAGTTGTATCATGGCAAGATAAAGGGCTATTAGTAAATACACTAAGTATTTATTTCAAAAATAAATTAATTTTAAAATTTAAATAATGTTTTAATCTTACTAGTCTTATATGAAATTGCAATGTTCTGAGCAGTGAACTAATATCATAATAATAATAAAACCTATCATATTCTATAAAGAGACATAGACATATATACCCACAAAGAAACAGACACACATATACATTGACTTGTACAGGTAGAATGTCTCTTATTGAACAGTCAGATGTCAACTTTCATTTCAGTAGTTGATTAATTTATATAAGGCTGGTAGAAGTTTAAGGCTGAATGAAATTACTGATTCATACTACCATACTACTTTCATATAATTCATATTGTGCTTACCTCCTTCAGGCGTTCTGAATGTTATAGCATCACTTCTTATGTTTCCGTCTCCAAATCTTGTACTTGCTGTTACATAAGCACCATACTCATAATTATTTTCCAGGTCTGTGAACTGTAGTGATGTTTCTGTTACATTAACACTCCATTTTGATGTTTTACTCCTAAAAAGAAAAACAATATATGCATTATGTATATATATATATGTATATATATGCCATTTTTGTATGTATACAACTGTATTATACTATGTCAAATTTTAAAAGGTGGTATTGTAACAAATACAAATTTGTGAGGTTTTAAAAAAGAATTGGATTGATTCTGTCCAATATATTGAAAAAGCCATTTTTGAACTCTCGCATCAAAACAGAAATGCATGTATGCAAATTGCATCACAACTGAACATTATATGAAATATCAAGGAGTCGCATGTCTGCCTAGTAAGTGCTATCAAATGATTATGTGGTACTCTTGGGAAGGACACAGTAGGGCATAACTAAACTGTCTCTCTGGACAAGAATAGCGAAATATAAAAAGATTATAGCAGGGAGCATGCCCTACTGTGACTCTGTGAAATTGGTCAGAAGGCTGAAGTTATAAATGGAATAATAGAAGATGATATGGAACAGGAATTAGCTGGTGCTGAGTTAATTCTGGTGGAATGTAGCAGGGGATCAGAATGGAACTCTAGTCAGGTCAAAACCAGCCTAGAAAGACTATAAGATGAAACATTAATAAAACGTTGGTATTAGCATAGGTATGAAAAGATTATCATAAAGTAAAAACAAGAGACAGAAATAACTAACCAGAATTTTAAGAGTCTGCTATTCTTTGTTAAATTAATTTCATCTTTTATGAAAAGAGAGCAGGGAAAAGCTAATGAATATTCCTTTCCTGCAAAGGATTCTGTACAAGTCTGTTCCCTGTACTTTTAATGGGATTTCATACAGGCATGATAATTTGACAAGTAAAACCAAATATCTTGCTGCAGGAGTCACTGTGGGGGTCTTCAGAAACAAGAGAAGGATTTCTAATTACGAAAAAAAAGGAAAGGATGATTCTAACTTATTGGATGGGCTCATTTTCATCCTTTGGTACATGAATGTTCCAGAAACAAAGATCACTATCTGATCCTCCTGAAACAAAGTAATTTAAAAAACAACTGAAATGAGAACATGTATGAGAATGAGTACACTAAATTTTACCAATCCCTTTCAATTTTTTAAAAGGGATTTTACCAATCCCTTTCAAAATGTCTTTTAACTTGGGCAACTTTCTCAATAGCAAAGTTAACTTACATTTTTCTCAAAGTTTTGACATTTTGAAGTCAATAAAAAGATTAAAACATTAATAAGCTAAAAATCCTTCACAGGGCAAAATATAAGAGGCTGCTGGAGAAGTTATCAAATTCCATACAAGTAAAGACATCTTTTCTTGGATCTCTGTCTACATGTTCTTTATATGTAAAAATGTAACTACTGTAGCTATTTGAGTAACTACTGTAGCTATTTGAGTAAGATAAGAATGTCTAACCTACTTTCATTTCAATTAATTGTGCTCCATAACATCTTATTCAGTAAAAAAACTTCCCACAATTGGGCCATAATCACCCAGTCGAACAAAAGTTTGAAGTAGTTCAAGAAAAGTTAATCTTCTATTTAGCAAAGCAACTTAGCTTTCAGCCAAAATATTAAGAAAAAACTGATTGAAGTGAGTGCACTCTTCACAAACAATGAGAAGGTATCTAGCAGAACAAGTTAAGCCAAGGTATTTCAATGAACTACAATACTAAGTTATAAATGACATTTCTTAAAAGACCAGACAAAAATGTTCCTAACCAATTGCATGCTTTCACTTTACAAAGTTTCTTAAAAATCCCAGCAGTCTTAATCAGTAATTATTTGAAAAGATTTTGTTGAATACAGTAATGTCAATGTTTGAGCCTGAAATATTTCCTCAAAAGGGCAGAGGTAAGCTTTGCTGAACAAATATAGTAAAAAGTCAATAGGTAAAGGTAATTTCAGCAATTTTATTAAAAATGCCTTGGTACTCTAGAATTACAGGTTCAGGAAGAACAAGTTAGCAGTCCCAAGCTACAGATAGCTTGATATTTGCTTTACTGTCTGCTAGTATGAAAGGCACTTTGTGCTATGATAAATTCCATGCAAGATAACAATGGCAAAATTACAGATAATGCTCTTTATATTCTACTAGTTGTGGATTCTTGTTCCCATTTAATCAAAGAAAAGTTACCATTTTTCACAACTGCAGCAATATGCAATATATTAAAGCGAAGTGTCTTTATTAGCTTTCCTGTCTCTGAATATGGAAACTCAGGGGTTAATGGGGTCCTCTGTAAAACAGTGACTGCCTTCCCAAAGTAGCAATTACGGCACAACAGTTTGCCTTGTTAATTCTCACTATGCAACGCATCTGATGAAATTATATAGGCAATTATGTCAAGTAATATTTTTTTTTATTTTTTTAAAAGAAGAAGAATGATAAGGAATTAAGTTGTGGCCCCTTTGAAAGTAATGGCAGTTTTCATCCAATGTCCTTGCCTCGAGATGATACCTAATGCCAGTCTAATTTTAGATAAGGCACACTGAGGATAGATAAGATACAGCAAGGAGAAAATGGAAAGAAGAAGGATAGGGCTTACTGCAAAAAGTTTTGTGAATGTTTAATATAGATATTTAGAAAGATGGTTATCTTAACAGGTTTTAAAAATAACTCTTACCAACTCATTCATTATAATAACAATGTAAGCTTTAAGGATGAAAAGCCAAGCAACTTCAAGTCTTTGAACACAGTATCCATCAAAACCATAATCCTTATCATGAAGTATCTGTTTTCTAGCTAGAAATAATTTAATTTAATATTCTTTGTGCTTAAAGAACACCAGACCTTGCTAATGCAGTGGAATTAGGAAGAGAATCCCAAATTAACTCTTTCGAAAAGAAAAGGCTACTTCTGTTCACTTTATAATCAACTTATCTATAAGTTCTAATAAAAAACAATCAAACAAACAAGGAAATAGGATAGAGTCCTATAGAGTGCCCAAAATGTTAAGTATCATTAAAATAATAAACATAAGGTTAATATTACTGTATATTTAAAGACTGTTCTTTTGAATGAAGATCTCAGAAGGTGATTTTTTAAGCATTTGATCTTGTTTCTTCATTGTGGCAAAAAAATGACACAGCATAAACACACTATAATAAAAAGTGATCAGCAGTAAAACCTGTTCATTTTTTTTTATATATGTATACAAAGATCCCTGAAGAGGTATCAAATCACTAGACCAAGCTATGTTAAACAGCACAAGAGCAGCAAGTTGGCATTTAAATTGACAAAAATCCTTCTGAGAGGAAAAAAAAGAGATTTTAAGAGGGATGAGAGAAAATTGCAGGAAAGAAGAAATGGCAGGGGAAAGAAAAAATAAGATGGTAAAGGACTGATAAAACATGATGGTTTGCTTTAAATAAGAATTATACAAAATATAACAGCAGGCATAACTGAAAGAACATAAAATGATTCTAATCTCCTGTCTCAAATTCTTATGTCATTTGGATAGAAGCTAAAACAGGTCTCATAAATTGTTCTTACATGCTTCCTAAAACCAAAGCAATATTCACCTATCCTCAATTTGTTTCAAAATCTCCTCAACAATTTAGGAGAGCTTAGTGACTCATTAGTATATAATGAAATAGTTGTTTCTTTCCATCTTAAAATTCAAGTGATGCACAAAGCCTTTATAAACATGCTTAAAACACTTGCAAAACACTGAATGCTCTAATTTTCACTTACTCCATCTGAATTTGTTTATATAAAATGCTAATATTTTAAGTGATGGATTAAAATTCAGTCTCCAAAAATGTGTAATCAACCTAACATTCCTGATAGGTTACAGATTAATATTTATCCTCAGAACCATTTCCAGAAATTCTTACCAGACGTAAACTGTGTAATAGAGGATAATTCCATTTGGCTCCAGTGGAGGCTTCCATGACAACTGCACAATGACACCCGACAACTGTTTTACTGAGAGGGATTCAGGAGGAGAACTAGGAGCTATAAAATGAGAGAACAGGACATAACAGCTTGTTAAACAGCCAAGACCTATGGAAAACGCAGCATCTTTAAATAGGATTTTAATTGTTTATGATGGAAAGTGAACTTTGTACCACACAGGTAGAGCATTCATATCTCATGTTATAGCTCAGCTTCTTTTCCTTTTCCTGACAGATGATAAAAGAAGATTTTGTACGGTGGTGTTAAAACATCTGTTTCTGTGATTCAATGGAAAAAATACTTCATGAGAAAACAGAGCAAACGGTAGGTCACAGTGATTCACCTACTGCCCAAGTACATTGTTGTGATTTTTTTTTCCTTCTAATAAAAGCAGGAGCTTTATAGGTATGAACACATGTAAAATACAGCAAAATAGATCCCTTGGAGAAAAAAAGAAGTGCTGGAAATAATTATACGAAGCACCAAAAAGGGGAAAATGGATAAGCATGGCAGTGAGAAATGATAAAAATTTGGCATACCAGGCAGTGGTAAAATGTATTCACACCATCAAACAAGGAACATATTCATACATTTAACATGTCACAAGAGACAATATAAAGATACGAAATGATCGAGAGCTTTAAAAATTCATTTTAAGATGAACTCTGCACAATACCATATAGCAACTGTGCAGGGAGACACCATAAGTAAAAGAAAACCCTAACACACATTTGATTTCATTCTAATTGAATTACTTTGAGATTCATATAGATATTCATGAGAATGTACCCATGAATATATGAGTGATACCACTTTTTATCAGTATGTTATTGAGGAAGTACATCTTTTTCTTCTTCTTGATTCATGGATATGTACATCACTGTGGTAATATTAAAATTATTTTTGTGTCTTCAAATTGAAGAGCATCATGTACTAAAAATTCAGGTCATAGTTGCAGTCATGCATGAAAATTGAGAATATGAGCATAGCTATTAGCAAATCTATGAAGTATTTGGGTTGAAACATGGAACACTGTGTTCCTGTAAATAAAGTACATGTGGAGTATTATAAGTACTGTTGTTTCTTAGTTGTTAATCCTTCTTTCACTATCTTAAAACTTGGCAAAAAAATTTTAGAACTGTGCATTTAAGGAAAAAAAAATCATGAACAAAGGCTCATTGAATTTAGTGAATGTCTGTATTTAAAGATGAAAAATGGCGACAGCTGTATTTAGTGTTTTATTTGTTATATTATCCTCAGTGGCTATATAATAAAAGGTCTATCAGTGAATGTCGTTTTGGGAATGTAGGTCTAGTTCTTTGCACAGATCTTATCTGGGGATATTCTTTTCCTGAAAGATAGAATCTATATTTCTTAAATAAAAATTCTCTATGTAAAGATGGATTTATCCAAATTAGCTATTCCCAGTGTACCCCACCAACATAAGTATATAGCAAACACTGTGAATGGAAGATGGAGATTTAACAAGATCCATTGTCATCAAAACCTGGATATTTGGCAGGCCAGTGCTTCGTAAGATGTGAAAAGATACTGAATTTGGGAATGCTTGGTGAGATCCTTGTATCGATGCAGCTTTAGCTTATGTTCCTAGAGATTTCCTCCCTAAGCAACGTGCTCCTTCAAAACGTGAGCCACTGCACCTGAGTCAAAGTTCTGCTTTGAACCTTTTTCATGGGCCCTTCTTCAGTGATTATACTGAACAATAACTGTTATGTGAACAAGTACTTCACATGACTAAACTGAGTACTCAAAGTATAAATAATATATTTTTTTCTGACTTATGGTCTCCTGCACTAGTTAGCAGGGAATGCAATGACCATGCTATCAATTCGATAGTCAAATACTACAGAAGATGGAATCTGAGCATTTTTATAACATTAATAATTTTACATCTGTGCATGAGCATCCATTTATGCATGTATTCAGAAGAAATCAAAAATCTCTAAATAAAAGAACTAGAAGTGTCCCTAGCCCAAGGGACACAGTTCAAGCTGCCTTTTGCTGTTTTCCCTTTCCCTCTCATGTCTGCAGAACCTGAGATAATATTTAGTTTCATCAGTTTAAAAGAGTACTAGTAAAATTAGATTTTTTTCAAGTGTGTGACATACTGGTGAGTCCAAATGTTCACGCTCAGCACTCCTGTGATTTCACATAAATGTGTAAAACAACATACATACAGGTGTGTATGCTTAAGAGTGTGTATAAATATATAAAATATATATAAACTCACATATGTAGATATAGACAGAGACATAATTGCAAAAGGAGTATGAAAAAAATGTGCACATATATCTGACAGGGAGTGCAGGATTAGTTTAAGACTACAGGGAGCAACGATACATTACAACTTCTTTCCTGACTTACCATCTTCAGCAGTGAGTATATGCACGGGTGCACTACGAAGGCCCTCCCCCATTGCAGTACTAGCAGACACCTCCACTGTATATTCTGTGTATTTCTTTAAATCTAAATATAGAAGAAGAATTCAGTAAACCAACCATATGGTAAGCCAAATTCGTGTTTTTTTTAATGGAATCCAAAATTTGGGATTCTAAGCCAGGAACAGAAGCTTTGAAGTGTTGAAGAAGCCCATCCCTTACTTTGACCTGTGTCTTGATATTAGAAACTGAAACAAGCATTAGAAAAATTTGAATACAAAGTATTCTGCATGACTAAATCCAACTACTTAAGGCCTAACTACCAGTTTATACTTCATAGAACGCTTTACAGTTTGTGCTTACCACTGATCTGAAAACTTACTGGTTAAGGCATTGAGCTCCCTGTCTTAAATGTTGTGTCATGCTTTGGTTATAATAAGCACGTAAAAAGATAGAAAGGTAGATGCAGTATTTAATTTTAATCAGAATAGGATGGGAAAGATATGTAGTGACTTCAGTGTTTATTTTCAGCCATGATGACAAATAAGTAAAAAAGTGTATACAACTCAGTAATGCTTCTTGCACTTCAAATATACAAAATACAATAAGGGATATGTGAGTTCGGTACTGATCTTGCTCCATTCCACTGTAATACTACAGGATAAAACAGACTGCTCCATGGGATAGGTAAAAAAATAACTTCATATTAGGACAAGAAAGACCATATCTAGACAATAAACTAATAATTAGTCTGCATCAGTCAATCTTCTGAGCCCTTTTTAGAACACTTTATAGTTGCCCTAAGTTGTTCTTATATACTGGCCTGCAATATGTAGCATCAGAAGAGTGGTGTTTATGACTCTTTGCTCAGTTCCATTAGTTCCCTTCAGATATATTGTGTAGTTCTGTATGATTCCATTGGGAAGAGATGGTGGAAAAAATGATAACTCAATTTCTGTGGATGAAATGTTCCTATAGGTAATATTTTCAGGTGCAGAATCAGGAACTAGAAAAAAAATGTAGACTTGTAAAAGAATGCAGTCAGATTCATTAAGATTTTTTTAACTGCTTAAAAGAAAACAGATTGTAAATATTTAAATTTCGTAAGTGTGTTTATTGCAAAATATATTTTAAAACAGGACCAAAAGACCAAAACATATGACAGATATGCACTCTAATTTCAAGGTTCAAGTCATTCTTTAATTAAAAATAATAATAACAACAACTGAATCACATTAAAAAATCCCTGAGCCATGAGTTGGCATCTCAGACTGACCCTGGTCTTGCCTCATTACCATAAACGTGCCTGAGGATCACGAAGCCTTGTCAGACCCTGGTTACCTTCATCAAGCCTGATTCAGAGCTTAATACATGGGCTGCCTGCCCATCCTGACTTCAACCCGCCCCATCCCCACTGAAGTCCCTGATGCCTGGGGCTGGAATTGCCCCCATCTGCCCTGTTCCCTTGCAAGGTGGTGGGATGGGCCTTGGATGGTGAGGTCCTGCCCTGCTACCACCAGAAACTACTGCAGGTGCACCATGGCAGTCGCTTTTGGTGTCTATCTGTCCCAATACAAATGGGCAAGTAAGTTTTGTACTATCCAAAACTGGTAGTATAGGATAATATATCTTATTTTAGAAAATTGTGATTACACAGTGACAGCACAATTTGCCCAATAGACCAAGGAAGTCATGGACATATTTCTAGGACTCTCTAAATGTTCTTATCAACCTACTGGCATTTGTTCATACTAACCATTTTTGTTTAAGTAATATCCAGAAATTGAATGAATTCCACAATTCCTAGGAATCTGTGCCCCAGTTTCTTAGGTGTTTGATTTATTCTTCAGGCCTGAAACACATGCTTCACTCAGGGGAAATCAAAGCTCATCTCAGAAAAAAGGATATGGAGCTCAGTGATCCCCCCCTGGCTCCTAACAACCAAAAAGCTATAGCATCCCACTGTCTGCTTTTGGAGATACTGGTACATGTGTGTCTTTCCTTACTGAGCAAAACCTGGTAAGGAGAACATGTTTAGCTCTATGTTTTTATCTAGATACAGGTAAAGTAGACAGTTGTCTGAGGCAGCAAATTGCTGAAGATGGCAAAAGGACCAAGAAAAGTATGATCATCAAACCAGTACTACTTAGATATGTCTGAGTCCTAAAGAAACAGAATTTACCCCTTTAGAGCTATCAGACGTGTGGGCAGCATGTGGACTAACTCTTTGTATGGTAGCAGGTGGTAACTATCAACACTTCTCTCGTGTGCCCACAACAGCAGACATTGGAGAAACAGGCTGGTTTTCCTGCTAGTTCTCTAACCTGGCTATTCCTATCAGCATAGGTCAGAATTAGGGCAAGGACAACCTTCTCTTCAGCTTTCTAACATTTCTAGTTAGGTTTTTGCCTCTGCCTTGGTGAATTTCTCCATTAAGAAGATTATTATCATCATTCAGAGATAATCAACAGAGACCAAGCATATTCTTCTCCGTAACCATCTGTCTCCTTGGGTGCCTTCTATTCCTAATTCTACAGCTTAAACCAAACATCTGCTCCTCTGTGTAAACTCTGTGTAAAATTTCTCAGAATTTCTCTGAATGCCCCCCCACTTAGCTTCACTGAAAATTTAATGACCCTTTCTGTATTTTATCTTCATTTCCCTGTATTGTCCTACCTTATGATTGCTTATTTCAAGTCTCTTCTGTGCTGTTATTTCTATTTAATACTTAGTAAGTCCATTCTTGCTTCCCAATTTTGACTTCTAAAACTACTTTCCTTTCTTAGAAATATTTCGTACAGTCTAATTATCTGCTCCTGCATTTTATCTTTGCTTTCTCCAAAATATTTCTAGTAACATCACCAGTTTTACTGTTCTGCAACATAGCACCATATCTAAGAAAGAGTTCTGTATTTTTTAAAATCATTTGGATTGATTCTTACCAAATTTCAGTTCATAATTTGAAATTCAGGCCTCTCTTACTTTTTGAAATCTCTCCATTCCTACAGAAATAAGTTATTTTTCTGCAAGACACAAGGAATTTTCAAAGACAAGTGGTAAAATATATGAGTCCTTGAGGTATACCACTTGCCCCTGTTTTCTTTACTTAATCTTTCTATTTCTTTACTTCTGTTTGGTATATAGGAGAAGGAAAAGGAGGCTTCAAACTTTCTGCCTTGTAAAGCAAACATATGCTTTTAAAGTTAACTAAATGGACCTCCTGGGCATCAAATAAGGCAGCTGGCAGTGAAAAATTACAGAATTCTAAAGGAATTGTATACTGACCCGTTTCAGATGTTCTCACCAAAAGTGGGAAAGATGACTGATTCCCATGGCCAAGTCTGGTGAATGCCCTTACAGAGATGTTGTAGAGAGTATATGGCTTCATTTCACTTAGTGATATACTTGTGTTTGAGGCATTTTTAATAAACAAGTCATTGGAATCACTGTAGAGAACTTCATAGTGAGTTATGAGACCATTAGGCCGCTCAGGTGGTAACCATCTCAGGTTTATTTTTGTTGCAGTTACATCTACTAACTCCACGTTTTGGGGTGGAGAGTCTGGTTCTGTAATACAGAAATTGGAGAACAAAAAAGGATTTCTGAGATTTTTAATGGAATTGTTATTAATGGAATATAAGACTGATCTCACAGACCTACTATTCCCCAATGTTTAAGTATCCTGGAGTCATCAGAACGCATAGCTAACTGTAGCAAATGGTAGCAACTCACTCGGTGACTATCCCTCTCTAAACTTAGAAATTTTTCCTGTCCATTTTGCATCCTCCAAACTTCAACTTTTCTGGAACTTGCAACTTTCAGCCGTTCACATATCCATCCCAAACTGCATCCATTAAAAAAAGTAATTTCTGTCCACTGTTCACATGCAGACCTTCCTCAAATACCTTCACTGGCTTCATCAACTTCAAGTTCCTTAACTTTGTTATTATGCTCATTTGTCTGTTTTCTTCTTGGATAACCACCCATCTTACTTATTGCACTTATCTGACCATTAAACCAGAAATAGGAGTAAAATATACTGTAGCTAAATTCCTTTTAGTTTACCAGTACTGATTGGCGTCCATGAAGACCCTAGTGTATATCTTGTGTGTAATGCACAAAACAAGCACAGCTCCAGGGTAGTACTATTTGGTAAATCTACTTTCAATATCTCATTCCATGTGATTGCAGCAAGCTAATAATCCACAGACATTTTGACGTCTGAGTGGGAGTTGCACTTATGTAAAATCAGCTGTGAATCTAAACTTGGGTTCCTCAGTTGCACTCATCACTTCACCCTGAAATACCTAATCTATAAAAATTCTCTGATTTCTCTGATTTGAAATTTCTCTGATATGAAAGATATCGAAATGCCACAGTCTCTCATCCTAACGTAAATTATCTAAGATAGCTGTAGACAATCTTTTACCTGGACATAACTCTCCCTTTTCAACTAGTATGAGTCAGACAGCTACCTTAGACTACTTGTTATTCTTAGGTTGGCTAAAGTTACCCCAGGAAAACTGAAGTATCAAAAAGAACAATATAAAAGTAATCAGACACAGCTTTGTGAAAAGGCAGGATTTATCAGTAGATTTCTGAATAGTTTCCTTTAGCCTTGCGTGCATCCCCTACTGAACTGTTAGCCTGAAATCCTGAAACTTCACTGTGAACAAATTTCTTTCACATTCAGAGATGGAGTTGTAAACATAAAATTTCTTTCACAGAAAAAGACATTTAGGCAGGTAATTTTCTGTTCTTGTGATGTGCCCTTCCTCTGCAAAAACAATACAAAAGCATGCAGCCTTTAAAATTTTTCACAAGCTCTGTAAAATTTACTATTTAATTTGAGATGTTGGTTGGATGGTTATCCAAATCATTCAAAATTCACAAATCTCCATGATTTTTAAGCCTATAATCCTTTGCTCTTTTTTATTCCCCCTTAAGTATTTCTCCTGTATTGCAGCATATTTGGCAGGTGTGAGAGAATGAAGATAATTGGCCCAATTACCTTCTCTGTAAAAACAGAAGTGTGCTGAAAGCAGCAAAAACAAACTGATAAAAACCTGATGTAAATGAGGAAAGATTAGGTTCAATATTCATATCTCTGCTCTGAGAATCAAATTCCCAGGTTCTTTTTGTTAAAACCAATGGCAACTCCAGCTACTGCCCCTGCAGATTTACGTGTGGAGGCTGCCTTGAAAGGCAAGGAAGCTCCAGAAATCTTCACAAGGTAGCACTACACCCTACATTAAAACTGGTAAGTCTAAAAGAAATAAAGCCTCAAAACTCTATAGGAACAACAGCACACAATATCATTAAAGGGCTCACTTTTATCAGCAGCCCCGCTGACAGACAACATGGCTTCTTACTTGAAGCTCAGTTAAAGTACCATCTCCAAATGCTTCAAAAACAAACAAACAAACAAACCAACAACAAAAAACAACAAAATTTCCGTATGAGAGCGTAATAAAAAGGAGAAGCTGGAGTCACAAAGATAATTAATTATAGCTTATATGTGGGCAAGGGACACACTGATTTCAGTGAAAGAACATCAGCTTTGTAACTTGCTTCCCATTTGTCCATCAGAGTTGATATTATTTCATTTTATTTCTGGTCATGATGCAGTTTTTATCATTTCTAGCAGTTAGATCAGGCTGAATGAGGACACTGACAAACAGAAAATTAGTAATTTCAATGAACACTGATTTTATATGTACATTTTGTACCCCTACTTATGGATGTGCCCAGTCTCTCAAAGAAGTGCATGCTTATGTACAGAAATCAAATAATCACTACAAAGAACATAGTTACCATCTTCTGGGGTTCTCACAAAAATATCATTCTCTTCAGACAAAGCACTTTCTCCAACTGCGGTTGAGGCTGCAACTCTCATTTTATAATTTGTGTATTTTTTTAGACCTAAAATGATTAAGCACAAACACACACCTGAAACTGCATAAGGAATGCATTTTCTTCAGTTGTTATCAAAATTATTATTAAATAGAATAAAATTATCATTAATTTCAAACAAAAAATCAAATCTGAAAAAGAATTAACAATTTAGGAACACTGTCTGGGTGGAAGGAACAAAAAAATTCCAAGGAGAAATCCATTTCAGAAATTACTACTCACCAGCTATACCTGGTTATCTCCTCCCCTCTTACATTCCTTAAATATTTATCCACAGCAGACAGTCTGGCAAGAGTGTCCCAATCTTGCATTCACACATGAAAGTATGTGAGATGGATGGGGGAGATTTGATCTACCTTATCTTGCAAATATCTATGTTACTTTAAAATTGGAATAAGTTTGCATAAAAAATTTGAAATTATTTTCTTATCAAATGACACTGTACCTGTCATAAGTAAGCTGTTGTTTGAAGCTGTTGTATGGAATGCTCTTTTGGTATCCAGTTCCATTGCGTATACAGTATAATGAATGATTTTCCCATTGGGATTTGCTGGAGGATCCCAATACAGCAAAACAGAGGAGGAGCTAATATTCTTATAACATATATTTTGTACTGAGCTTGGAACTTAAATGAAAACAAAAAGTTGCAACAATGAGCAACAAAATAATGAAAAAAAGCATTAAAGAAAAAAACTTCAGTAAGGAAATGATGTATATTATCTTATATTTCAGAATCATAGGGTTTTACCTTGTTCACGAGTCTTGACTGTGAGAGTAGATGATGGCCCTTCTCCAACAGAAGTGAAAGCAGATACACTGATTGTGTAGTCTGTGAAAGGCGCAAGGCCTTTTATAACATATGACAGTTCTTCAGCCAAAATATTAATGGTATACTGATTATCTGCAATTAGATAGAAGACAGAAATAAGCAGTTATCTCTAAACTCAAGCTGACACAGTAACCTACAACTATTTCACTCTAAACAAATTACTTTTTATTACATAAACTACAAAAACATAAGCAAGAGGTTACACCATGTGTCTACGAATTAAGGAGAAGCTATTGTAGGCCTGCTGTCATGTGTAAAACCACTTTTTCAGTGGTCTACTAAGTATGTAATTCAGGTAATAGGATTGGAGTAGATGAAAGAATAAATGGGGGAGAAGTGAAAACACGTTTTGTAGGAACTCAGAAAATATATACTTGCAGATGGGACTTGTCTTCCCACTGACATCAGAATCTGTTGCAGCTCATAGGCTGTTAAAGGTTTTCGTTTGATTTTTTACTTTTGTTTGTTTGTTTATTTGTTTTCATAGGGAAGGACAAATTTCATCTTCCTTGCCCTCAAAACTATGCGATAAAACTCTATACTTGAAATAGTTCCCCTCACAGATGCCTTCACAACAATATTTTTTTGCAGAAGAAAACAGCTGTGATCAATAGAATGAAGTCAGACATGTACCTATATGGTTTTTGGTGTACCTGTGATAAAATTAAAAACTAGCAGCATCCTGACTGTGCTAATCAATATCATCTGTTAGACAGGACCTCTATACCACTGCAATGTGAAAAAGTGTGGATACTACACTTATCTGAGCCGCAGGCTCAAAGTTTTGCAAGGACAGCATTAAAAATAGAGGCATCTAAAATCAGCAGGCACTGTTGAAAATTTGTCAATTATCGTAACTCCAATAAATATCTGAAAATAATACTTATGCCAGGTAACAACAAATGCTGACTAAAGCAATTTTTCATAAACACAAACTTCTTCTAGTAGCTCACTAACCCAAATTGCATGAAAAAAATCACATTTGAAGCAGAGTATATTCTGCTTCAGAGTGTAATGAAGAAGATTCTTATGGATTAACATTGTATGGCAATGATCCAGTGTACTTTAAAGTAGTGGATTGAATTCTAGTGTTAACTATACTGATAATAAATAAAAATCAAAACTTGATTTTCCTACTACTCTTTAAACTCTCTTCGTAAAAATTTGGAGAGGGTTTTAAGTCCCTGCCTGTCAGCTAAGGGCCTTTTAATGATCTGTAAATATCCATAGTTGGTAAAGAAACACTGTTCCATTGATAATACAGAACAAGTGTACACACTAATGACATCGCCATGTCATGGGGTCATCTCCACCTGTTTGTCACCCAGATAGCAAAGTTGTAACTTTTTGACCTATTTACCTCCTCTGACATTTGAAAACCTATTAGTCAAAAGGCTTAGAGAAATCAAGGTCTCTGAAGGGCTTGGAGATATGTTAATCCCTGACAATCACACCTGCTTTGGCAACTGTAATAACTGATTGTCTATGCAGCTTGGCTGATGGCTTTCGGGTGCTCCTTTCACTAGGAAGAAGGTCAGCTGGGTGACAAGGGGCTAGTTCCTGCCTGTGTGGCATTCCCATTTGCTTCGGAAGGTTATTTGGTAGTAAAAAAAAATCTGACTCCAGCAAATGACCCATCAATAATTTGCTTGAACCGTGTGCTAAAGATCGTATTTGGGACAGTGACGAGTAGTTGCTTCAGACAAAGGAGCAGGTAGAAAAAATATCTTAAGTATCTTACCCAGAGCAGCTCCATTTACTGCAGGCAAATTATCGCCAGAGACACTTGTAAATATAACTGGGGAAGCTGTTTGAGTACTGGAAAATATTTCAGCTGAGCCTTCATATAATTCATTGGCTGCTTCCATTGAATTCCAGGTTGGAGAAAGCTTGATGTTTTCACTTAACATATATGGTTCCAAAGAATCAATTGCATACTAAAAATTAGAAATAAAAAAAAATCACAAATCATCATTAAATAATTTAATAATAATAATGGTTATTATTATTATATAATATATAAATAATGTTTGTGTATTTATGCATGTAAGGTGCATATATTTACACTTTAAAAGTAGTAGGAAACTAACAGAGCTGTCATTACAACAGTAATAAACTTTTCAAATTATTTCTCATGAAAAAAACTCTGCTTTAAGTAGCCTACAACTATTTCTTTTAAAAATAACACCTCATTATTTTTTTAAATTACTTAAAGCATAAATTTTATATCAAAGCTGTAATGCTCCCAAAGAGCAACACGTGTAAATTAATGGTGTTACCCTGGGACCTACTTTGAACAAACACATTTTGGAGTGTAGGAGACTCTATTTGTACTGAGCATACTCCAAAGCAGGGTTGAAAGCAGTGAAAACAAGATTTCAAATACTCCCATTAGACACCAAAGAAGAGATGATACGTGGAGTTGGGGAGAAAGAGAAACTAATAAAATAAGAGGAGAGGGAAAATATTGGACATAAATATTGGATAAAGGGAAAATAGAGGGGAGAATGAATATTGGAAATAAATATTGGAAAAGGGAGAATGGAAGGGAGAAAAGTGGTCTAAGAGTCAGAAAGACAAAAGAGGAGAACAATAAAGGCCGGAAGATGGTGGGAGTGGATCTAACAAGGGGAGCAAGAACTACCTGGACAGGAAGCAAAGAAAGCAGAAGAGAGGGCAAAGAGGCTTTTTAAACAGTTAAGTAGGTGGGATTAACCACAGAGATACAGCATCAATACTATACAAGAAGGAAAAGATACATATACATCTCATTTTTACCAACTTCTGTAACAAAATAGTCAACAGCCATGGAAATATCTTTTGTCTCTGAGGCTTTTCCACATACAAGATAACAGCCTTTTATTGCTACTAATTGAGTACACTGGATCCAACAGTTCAAATTCTGTAGATGGACAAAGCTGGGGTGTATAGGGTTCTAAGTAAAACAATGTTTGTTATGATTTGTTTTGTTTTTTAATTAAGAAATTACATTCAATAAACTATAATAAAGCAGAAGCAATGCTAAATCAAGAACTCAAAAGTTAGGAAATCCCATCATTAAAACATGCCAGTGCAGATTTAATTTTCATCCTTTGGTGTCTGCACCATGATACAATCTTTAATTATAGAATTATATACATTTTGTTTTTCAAGGACCCCTGTCCGGTTTAATGAATAGAGCCTTATTCTTTCTTTTCTTTTTTTTCCCTCCCTATTCCTTGTTTAGTGTTTGACTTCAAGGCTCCATTTAATGCATAGAAGTGAAACTGAAAGCAAACTCCTTCATCGAGCTCTACACCACAAACTTAGATTCTGTGCCATATCCAAAGAAAGACATTAGTGCCAAATCAACAATAACAAAAATGACAGCTTTGGGAACACTTGTTCAAAATTTAGATCCAGAAGAGCTTTCTCAGAAGACACTCAATCCTGAAATCCCTTAATTTTGAGGTAAATGTTCTCTAAAGGTCTACAGTTGCTGCAGAATGGCTATTGTCTAAGGTTGTTCAGAGCACATTAGTGTGCAAAACCAGAAACTAGAGAGACTGACACCTCTAAGTCAAGATTGGGTCCGACCCATGTGCACAGGTATCATTCATACACATCCATCACTTGGAGTTCAGCATGCAGTATTAGCAACCTAAATTCAACAGTGCCAATGGGGCAGAAATGCTGATGGGGCTTGCCTTGCAAGCAGAGCACTTCTGCAGCCATGGGAGACTTGGATTCAATCGGATTCCTGCCCACACTTTCTCAGAGGCTACTGGAGCAAGTGAATGTTGATCCAGAAATCTAAATCTGTACTCTTACTGCTAGGTCACACTGTACTGTAAAGAACTCAAGTGTAATAGGAATAGAAGAGATCAGACTGAGAGCTGTGGCTCCTTGCCTTTAGTAGCTGGGAAATTCTGGATTCTTGCTCTCGAATTATTTATGGTTTTCATGTACTGAAAATACGGGTATTGGAATCTCTTTAAAACTCAGACAGAGAAGGGGGGCGGGGTGGGAAAGGTGGTGCATAAAAGCATTGAAAACCCATCCATGTTAGCTAATTCCATATTCTGCATTTATTGCAAAAGGCAAAGAAATAAATTTAATCTAGCAAAGAAATCTATACTAAAAATACTAAATACCTTCACTTCTCCTTTGAGGATAGTGTTCTCTAGAGTCACCTCTGTTTCCTCCACATATACTTTAACTCTGTACTGGATAATGATACCATTTGGTTGTTGTGGCTTCCTCCAAACAATTTTTACGTATGTGGCTTCCACTTCTGCTAGATGTAAATCAGATATAGCACCTGGGACTAAACATTCAAGAGAATGCTTGATTTAACTAAAGATCTCAAATTATCACAAACTTTTTCAACACTATCAGCAATTAATAAAATTTCATATTCTTACCTTTAGGGTTGTTCCCACACAAATAGAAATTTTGTTCAGATATTTTTAGCAAAAAAGTTACATTCCTAAAAATATACGTATTTTTACATATTTACATATTTGACATACATGACCTATGTACAAAGTTGATCAGATCCTAAGACAATGTAAATCAAGATGGCTTTACTGAAGTCAGTGCACTGAAAATCTTTGCTAGTTTACAAAAAATGGAATCACAAGTATATTGAAAACAGAAACTTAATTTTTTAAATCCACCAAAACCATATAAAAATGAAGTAAACAAAAAAGGAAAAAGAAATATAAGGAATTTTGTGCAGCTCACTTTTTGGTTCAATTTCTTCTTTAGGCATCCAGTAATAATGATACTGTACTTTGCATAGAACTTTCAGAGACCCAAAACCTCTACATTCAATAGAATGATTTGCTGTGAAAAATCTTTATTCCCAGTATACCACAGGAAAACACAAAACTAAGATTACTTGCATAATGAGGGTTTGTAAATTTGAGGTCAAAGTTAGATCTTTTATCTCACTTAAAAAAAAAAAAACCCTTTGGCTTGTGACATGGAGTTTAGAAAGAAGGTAAGCAGAGCTATAATGGGGCAGGCCATCTCAGTAGACTTTCTCTGAGAGGTGCCAAAAGCAGATACTTTGGGAAAGAGCAAGATAAGTAAGTGTAGGTGTTCCTCCCACAGTTACACTTTAGCAGTGAACATTCCAGCAATCAGTGGTGATTGAAAGAGTTTCTAATTTCGTGTTGTGTGGCATAAACATAACACAGAAATAAAACCTTTTTGCCTGCCTATTACACAGTAACTCCATAGTATTTCTGGTTGCATCCCAGCTGCAGAGAAGTAACTTTGTGCAGTCTCACACACCTATCAGGCAGATCTGAATTTTTATTGATCATAGGAGTCCCTCCTGGTGAGCCAGAGCCCTCCTGGTTCTGGGGCAGAATCAAACACTTGACTGTCCTGGGACAAGACCTCCTTGGTGGGTCTGCGTCAGCATTATGATCCCTGGTAAAAATGGTTCCATTAGAACATAGAATGGGCTCTGGATTTGGTGAAAATTAATCAAACGTGTCATTTCATAAGAAATATTCAGGGCTCAACAAAGCAGGATAGTAATGTAATATTGCAATGTTATTTCTCTACTACTTGCTGCCATCTAACGGCTAAGCAAAGAACGTGTAACAATTACTGTATTCTAATTTGATGACTCTAATTCAGTAAAAACTACCTTTGTTTCACAGTCTTTGAAGGTTGCAAAATTCATTTTATCATAGTTTATACCTTTGAAGAAAGGGAGAAATAGATTTACATAAAAGCTTTTCCAAATAATTTATTTTATTAGCTTGTTACTCCTCTGAATGTTTTGTGAAAGACTTCTGAAAGTGAACTAAGATCATCCTACCCATTTTTAATTCTGCAACTTCAAATGGCTTTGAAAGGAAAGCTGAAGACAGTTAACACATATACCTAATTTACTTCATTTCTGAAAGTTTACCTACCTTCTGCAGGAGTAAAAACTGTAAGGTTAGTCTTTGGCCCCACCCCAGCACTTGTCTCAGCACCAACATACACGTCATATGTTGTAAAGGGCACGAGGTTGCTAAATACAAACTTAAGATCTTTTGTGCTATTATCCAGGATATAACCTGGAATGAAGAATGAAAAACAAGTTGGTAGCTCAAAAATAAAAAAGATATACCATGTCCTCATCCTGAATACAGCTACTTTTTCAGATTTATTTATGAAAAGGTAATTCAACATTGTAAATAACACTGTATATCTAAAAAAAAATTAAAATAAGTATATGTTTCAAGAAAAGAGGAGGGGGGTTGTTTATAAATCAACTTTCACTTTTCCTGGGTGATCGCATTAAAACATTAGAATATAACTCGTTACCTGCTTATTTAATTACATGCAGTTAAATACCACCTTTAACTAACGTGTTTGAATTTTTTCAGTAACAGCAAAACAAACGATGCAGTTAAATACCACCTTTAACTAACAAACATGTTTGAATTTAAAAATTTTCAGTAACAGCAAAACAAACAAAGGATAAAAATCCTCCTGAACCCTTT